GTTTATATTTAAAAGAAGCATAGAGTGGTGGAATATAATTTAGGTTTTTAGTAAATTTGTTCTTTTATATTTTACCTACTCATGTAGAATAATATACTTTGTGGAGTTAGAGATATTAATACTTGTTTACTTATATTTGAATATTATCCTGGGACTAGGTTTGGGAAGTCCGGGGGGGTGGGAGGTGGGTTTTCATATACTATTGTGTAATATTTGTGATGTTTTTTTTCTATGATGAAAATAATAAAAATTTTATATTGAAAAACTGTGAGAGCTTCTAATTTATTTTTTCACCAACAGAGAAATTAAAATTCTCTAACACATATAAATTTAATAAATTAATTTAATTATGGTGTGATGGGCACCCATATGCACTGAATAACTGAATAATGAAATTATTACAGGCCCTTAGTACATACTGTTATCAGAACATCACTTAGCCTTTTTAATGTAGATATTAGGACTTACCTTGATTACACCTCCCAGTTTGGCATCTGCTACAGCTAGCTGTTCATGGGCATCTTTGGCTACTATTTTCTTTAAGATTTTCTTTAAATTTTTGCTGATTTTGCCTTCTACCAGTGCTGTGGATGCTTGAGGAGAAAACAAAAAGCTGCAAAAAATCTAGAATTTTCTAAAAGACTCAGCCAGAAAAATGAGCACGGAGTAAAATATATAGTAAGTTCTATCTACAAAATACCTCTGATACAGAATAATGCACTGATGTTACTAGTTTAGGTAATGAAACGTTTGCAAGAAAACAGCCAAACTCAGAGAGTACCACGGATCACTCACAAAACAGTTCATTTTCTCTGTTGTCTCAGTGGTAGTGACGAAATGTTGTATGCAATCACAGTGATTCAGTTCCATCAACAATACATCATTGACAACAGAAATTGGTTTGAAGACCGCATATTCAGTTCTCAAGCCGCAATCTTTTACTAAATCTAGTTAATACTGTACAAATAATGCTGTACTGAATATATCTTTTAACAATAAATTTTAAAAAATGATAAAGTCACACGGAAATGCTTTGAGCTCAGAAAGGATAGCAAACATATAGAGCGTGCACTTTCTCTCTCAGCTGCTATCTTTACCCCAAACAAGATAAATACATGCACATGGGACCTCAATCAAGGTCAATGCCATTAGGCACAAAAGAAGAAAAGGCTTGTTTTTTTCAACCAAGTCCTTTGTTTTTAAGTGGAATTTACCTCCTCCTACTGGATAATGAAAAGTAAAATGTTATTTAAAGGGAGATAATCCTATAAAAGTGAAGTTGCTCCTAACATCCAACTCTGCTTGGAGGTTGGAAAAGGGTAGCCATTTTATGTCCCCCAGTCTGGGTTCAGATACCATGAGACACTATAGTTTAATTGGATTAACGTAACAAAAAGTCTATGGGATTAGACTGTGGTGGAACATCGTCTGAACTACACTCTTGGCCAAGATTCAGTTTTTGATGAAACCAAAGCATAATGACATTACAAATATGCTGTAGTAGCACCAACCAGTTTATTCTCCCAGGGAGCAACCTTATCCCTTCAAATGTGCACTGGGTTTGCTGGAGATAATGGAAATTATACTCCAAAACATCTGAAGGAAAACAAGTTGGAGAAGCCTCACCTTTAAAAGGTGTGAATGCTTTTAATTATATGAAAATGGATTTTCTACCCTTGCATACATTATATTTACTGATGTGTATACTAGCAAATGTGAAAATAGTTGAAGTGCACATGTACCTTTTAGAACATTATTTACAAAATTAGACATTTCCAAGGACGTAAGTAAAGCTATACAATGCTTGCAACAGAGTCATTATATAAACTTTGCAAGAAAGGAAGAAAGGAAAGAAGGTAGGGTGGCAAAATTACTGAATATGGCATAGGTTAGATGCTATTTCCAAGTCCAACTTAAAGCAGTAAATTTAGTTTACAAAAACTTAAAAGCTTTATCCTCCTCACACCTAAACATTGATCACACTCAATGGAGCTGATAAGAACTGGAATTCAACACCCCAGATAGCCCAGCACTTCTTCTCCTAACTGAAGAACCATTTCCTTCAAGTAAATCACTGTTTCTTCTATGATAACTTTTGCATCCCTGAAAATTACACTCAATGTCTGGAATCTATTTTAAGATAACCTTAATTGTAAAAGCATTACCTGCAAGAGCTTCTGTTGTGTCTTGAAACTTCTCGAAGTGTTTCAGTTTTACACTAAATAAAAAAAAATCACAATGTTTTTGCAACAATCATTAGGACCTGAGGAATTGCTACCAATTATAAACATTTTTCAGGAAACTCAAAAAGTGATATGCATGTAATCTCTGGCTTTTAAAAAAACAAAAACGACAGTCCATCAGGTCAATGTTTCCTATACAAAGAGAAAAGTATACTTTAAAAGATTTTGACTCAGGTGTTAATTAACTTTTAGGCAAGTCATCCACCCATCTAATAATGACATGAAGTCTTCATTTACCAACTGCCTTGGAGAATAACCATTAGCAGTTTGGACAGTGAGGAAAAAATAACAGTGACCAATGGGCACATTTACAAACTTTGATTCATCTCTTCCTCAGTCACATTTGCTATTATAGCCAGTTAGTATGCGTTGTCCAGTATAAAATGTAAGCAGCTGAAGTCACATGATTTTTCAGTTAGTGACCACTTTGCTTAACAATGGAATTTTTGGTCCAAATTGTGGTTGCTATAATGAGGATTACCTGTATAGCCTACTTTATAGGATAATATGTAACAATTACAAACATAATGGACACAAAATATAAAAACGTTCTGCATACATATATTGTGTACAAACATGAATTATATAAAATCTATAAGTTAGGCACAACTAGTTCATTAATCAAGTCTATTACTTCCTACTTATTCCTAACTAATCTGTATCATACAAATCCTGCTTCACTTCAGCAAGCCTTTTTGTGCAGTTCTTGTGATATCTAAGCCTAGTGGTCATTCAGATTTTTGCAACTCAGATCTGATAGTCCTAATTACCATAGTGCTGCAGAATTAAACATAGCATAAACCTAACTCTTAGAATGAAATAGCTTTACCCCTCATTCCAAAAACTCTAAGTGGCTAACAATGTCAACCTAGTTGTCCGATTTTTTTTATCTCAATTGCAATTTAACAGTTTACAGATGCAATAAAACAAAAATAGAGATACAAAAAGAAAAAACACAAAACATACAATGCCAAACTGCAAGGCATCATAATACAAATTCCCATCAGAAAAGTTCAGTGTTTACCATCTTCTGGAAGATGACCAAGACATAATGACAATAAGTTTATTACTTAGTTGATTTATAGATGTTTTTTCTATCAATGAGAAAATGACTTAGTGTTTTATATCCTGTATTCAAGAATATAAAATAGTTCCAGAAACCCCATACAAAAAGATCAAGAAAGACAAAAAACTAGTGGCCATGCTCTTGCAATATTAGTTACTACTACTTTACTTACATTTTATTAGCTTTTTCAGGTGTTTCAAACTCTTTCCATAAGTTATCAATTTCTTGAAGCTTTTTCTCATTTAGAACCTGTGGTAAAGATAAAGACTAATGAAATGTATGCAATATTTGGCAACAAGATCTGTCTTATTTGTCACTATGAAAAATTAAAAATGTGAAACTATACCCCAAACTTTGTGTAAAAAAATGAATGCTAGGTCTAATTTATGAACTCTATATCCATGTCACTTAATCTTTCCAATTTCAATTAGAATAAAGTCCAGTGGGAAGTTATAAACCTTTTTACTAATGTTTATTTAGCTGGTTAATAGATAGTTATTCTATGAGTAACAATATATTTTATATTCTGCTATTCAAAGCCACAATTTGGGAGCCAACTTTATGAACCAAGCTTAAAATTATAGTTTACCAGTAGAGAGATGGGACATAAACTAAATGAATACAATAACAGAGTGCAGTACTCCTGCCTCAGACAAGGGCCTTTTTTGGGAGGGGGGGGGGAGGAAAAGGAACTTCCTCCAAGCAGTCCATTACAGAGAAATTAAGTATCACCAAGAATGTCTATGGAAATTAAAAAATTATTCGGATTCAATTTCAATACAAAATGAGCCTAATAAATAATATTGCAAGAGAAAGATTAGTTTATGAGCATTATTTCCCTGAATGAGGAGTGAGTTTCAAGAATGGGAAGAGTGATGTTTCCCACTGGAATTGAAGTGGTGTCAGCAACCAGATTATTCTTCACTAGAACACTGAGAAGACTCAACCAGCCTAGAAATGTTAATTTGTCAGTAGTGGGGGACAGTAAACATCTGATGCTACAGATGCCTTCCAGGCATTCACATTTTCAGTGTCCAGATCCTTCTGAGTTCAGTCTAAAATACATCCAAAATAGATCCAAATTACTTCGAAGACCCATTTTCCTTGCAACTTTTCAAATTCCTTGCAACTTTTCCCAGCATGTATAAGAATGAATTGGCAATAGAACAGCAGGAACTGTAAGGCTAAAAAAAAAGGCAAGTACACAAAGCACCAAGCTGCATGGGAAAATTTCTGCTGCACATAATGCAGGCTTTTTTTTGCAAAAATAGTTCGTTAATCAATTCTTTTCTCTCTTTTTGGAAGCAAGGAGCCAGCATAGAAAACGTCAACATCCCTTTCGGGATTAAGAGCAACTGCCTTAAAATATATAATTATCTGTCCAGATAACCAACTGGATAAAGATACAACCAGGTTTAGCGCAATTGTATGCCTCCAAGTTATAACAGCCTTTCATCACTAGGGGACGCATCTCACATTAAACCCAGAAATGCATTAACTAGGAATGTTACAAAACTTGCTCCCCCCCCCCATCTTTTAGCAATTTGTCCTCTCCTCCCCCCCGGCAAAAGAGAAAGATGATCCGTTGCTCCACGACCATAAAGTAGGCAGGGCATCGCCAATCAATTTCGGGGGCGTTTCAAAATGGATTCAGAAAGCTTGAGACGGTTGCTTATCTAAAAAGTTAATTCTTTCCGGAAAAATCTAACACTATAACTCCCGCCATTCAAGCCGCAGCAGAGGCGAAATGGCCTTCTGCTTTCTACTCCCGCCATCAGCCACGAGCCCAGGAACACGTGCTGCCATCCTCACCTTGAAAATGGCGTACCCGGCCGCTGTCTCAAATAAAACCAGCATCGCTGCGGCGGGATAAGACCAGAGAGCGCAGCTGCTCCCCGGGAAAGAGCGAGCGCCTGGCAAAAGAACGCGGGCGAGACAGACCACGCGCTGCAAGGAAACGCGCCGCACGACCGGAAGGCTCTGCTCACTTCACCCGGAAGTGCTTTTGATGGCCTGCCGGAAAGCCGCAACGGAGGAGGAGAGGGCGGGGAAAGAGAGCTAACCTTTCACTTTTTGAAGCAGCGGGGCTCGCTACTTGATTTCGCCCTATAAGCGTCCGTGCGACCTGAGGGGTGATCCTTGCAACTCACAGGCTTCTTTAGATTTCAGTAAAAGTTGTTGAGGAGATTTTTTTTGCCTGCGTTTCTGTATATTTTAAACCTGGACCCAAAGTAAATATTGTAAACTATAAATTGACCCAGATGTCTACTTCAGTATTTGCTTTTTAGCAAACAGGAACTAAGCTTTGCTACAACAGCTATAATTCATTGCAACAATAAATATATCGATCATCTTTGTGATAAAACAAAATCTTTATATGGCTTTGTCACCAAAAAGACTCTTAAGAGAAATATGCTTGGAGGCAAACTTTAGAATCAGATCTAAATGTAACATACGACATAATAAGCCTGCACCCTCGTTAATTAGTTTGGAGTAGGGTCTCTTTCTATTTAATATTGTGAAATTTAGAAACATGTCATAACAGCTATGTTAGACCTGGAAGTAATGAAGAATTTAATGGTTTTACATCATAAGCTTTTTGCATCATTCTTGCAAAGATGTTAGATAATCTTTAGCCCAAAAAACTGACCGAGACCACTTTGGTATAATGAGAGAGATGAAAAATGTCAGACATTGATACTGATAATATAAAAAATAAGAATGTATTTTTGTTGCTTTTTAAATTAACAAAAAAAGAAAAATACAAAAATACATTATCAAATATATATATATAACAAATCCTTAAAAATAAGTGAAAAAATACAACAGAAAAAATAATAAGAGTATAACATTTTACTTTCAAAGTTACAATTCTATTTATATATTATTTTGTTTTATAGCTCCCTTTATTACTTTATAAATAACTCAAGGTGGCTAACATATGTAATATTCCTTGTCCTGTTTTTCTCATAACCCTGTGAGGTGAGTTGGCTGAGAAAATGATTAGCCCAAACTCACCCAGCATGCTTTTGTTTTCTGGCCTGACCCATTAGATCTGTAGACGGTATTTTTTTAATCAGTTGATCTCTGCATTTTTCCCCCTTTGGTGCAGAACTGCAAATTGCGAGAGCACACAGGGTGATTTGCCCCACATCTCTTTTCTGCAGTTCCTGCTGTTCAGTTCCTCAGATTAGCCTGATGTGTTAAATTAGGATTTTATAAAGTCCAACTGCATAATGTTCAAATAGCAAGCTTTCATGTTTCAGTAGGTCAGCCAACCATGTTTTTTCATAACTTGAGCGGCCACATATCCTTCATTGTAATTTTCTGCTTGAAGTCCAGTGTCAACTACCAAGAGAAAAGGGGACTCCTTGTTCCTTATCAAGCACCAAATTAGAAGGCGTACAAGCTGTGGTAACTTTAGCTGCATGAGACAGGCTGTGTTGCTATAATTTTTCCAAATTTGCATATTAATATATACAAATACCAGATGCAATTCGTGTCTTTTTTGCAACTCATGTTTTGTCAATGAACACTCTTATCTTCTGCCGTCCAACCATGTGGATTGCATCAACCCTCTTTTGTGACTTGGTTATGTTTGAAATGTAGGCAAACGGTTCCTCATCGAAGCCTGCATAACCGCCACCTCTCTCTACCTGGGCACAAAATGGAGGGAGGAGTAAATTAGCGGCTGGTCATTTCCAGCGAAGTTGGAAAATGCGCCGCTTTCCACGTCTTCCAACCTCGCTACTACAGTATTAGGAAGGGCAGATGCAACTTCGGAGGAAACAGATGAGCGATGCAAAGGTGGAAAGTCTGCAAGACGTAACCACCCTCCTCCGCTCCTAGTGGGCCGTGCGCAAAGCCGGAGCAGAAGCTAAGTTGCGACTGTCGTGAACGCTGCAAAGAGCGGGCTGCGAGCGGCTGTAAAACTCGCGCAAAACTGTTCCCGGAGTCTCTCGGCGGGGGCGGAGCAGAGTTGCACTGCGCTTCTTCGGTGGGCTGTGCCTGGAGAGCGGGAAGTGAGCTCAGGCGCAGAGGAAATCCCGCCTGCCCGCGCCCGGCCTGTGTGTTGTGCTCTCCGTGTTGGCGACACCGAGGGCGAGATCGGCGAGGCGCTTCTCCGGGGGTGGCGGAGGGGCCGGCTGCGTCTTCGAGGGAGACATGTCGGATCAGGTGGGAGGCTCGCGCTGGGCAGGAAGAAGCTCGCAGTCGGCCGCCCCCAACCGCCCGGCTGAAAGGCGCCCGGGCTGTCCGCAGGCGGCCAGATGGGGCCACAACAAGCCGGGACCCCTCGGCCGGAGGGGCTTACAGGCACGGGGCCCTGGCCCCCGGCCAACTTGGGCCGGCTTAGAGCCCGGCCTCCTGCCTCTCCGCGTCCGTTTCATGCCCTGGGTTTAGCCCTCCTAAGCTGCTTCTGGGCCACGAAATAGAATCACCCGGATCTCCCGAAATGCCCCCGTGGTGGAGCGGGGGGAGGGACACAGATCGGAGTTGGCACCTATGGAGGAAGCCCAAAGGGAGAAATAACGAAAGGCCAAAGTTTCTGTTTGGGCTCCTTTTTGTAGATCTGCTCTCTCCCCCCTCCACGACCCCGCTTCTCGTTCGATGCGGCTTTCGTTCAAGCCTGACTTTCAGAAAACGGTGCGAAATGTCTTGTTTAGAAACGACCACGATTATTGTAAATGAATCATTGTTTTGAGATGCTGCTTGCCCCGGGAACATAGACTCGTTCACACGACCTGACATTTCCTGTTTGGTTTGCCTTGAAGCATGGTTTGGCAGGATAGCCTTTTAAAAAAAAAAATACATAAGCTTTGACATTATTTGAACAAAAATCACACAAGAATAAAGATAGCCTTTTTGTTGCATTTTTATGGCCTACAGAAGAGAAATCCATGCAGTGGCCAGTTGGAATAAAAATAGAAGTGCTCTTTTTAGCCATTTATTCAAACTAATTTGTTCAGCAAATTAAATGCAATGGCCCAGTTTTATCATCATATTGTCTTAATCATGACATTAACTTAACTTTAGCGTTGGGAGCCTTTGCTTCATGGGATCCTCTTCAGTCAGCGTGAGCAGGAATTTACAAAAGGTTGCTTTCATTTTCACTTCCATGTAATTCAGATCGTGGATTATTTTAAGAATAACATATTGACAAGGTCAATTTGGTAATCCGTGTTTTAAAATTGACTTGTTTCAGGAAATATAATTGGGAAGTGTTAAATATAGTAGTGCAAATTTCGTCTCCTTGCAACCATCTTGGAAAAATAGGAATTCAGTATGGGCACAGGACTCAATTCATATAATGCTATCATGTTATGTGTGAGTAGTTGACTGTTTTATGAATCTGTATTAGTGGGTCCCTATCTTTTAAAGTGGGGAAGAAATTGGGCTGTTAATTCTTTCTTAAAAAGCATTTTTTTTCTAAATATTTCAGCCAGTGATATTATTTCCCCAGTGCCATGTCAGTTTGGCTTCACTAATCCTGCACTTCAGATTTTCTTCAGTATCTAATTGTAAACGTCCAAAAGGAAATAGCTTATCTGGTCATATGTATGTGATGCTGTTTGTTTTTATTATTTTTTTCTGGTTCACATAACTGTTAATTTAGATTCAAACTCGGAAAGGCCCCAGATATTGTCCTCACATGTTTTCTACTTGGAGAACTAGATAGAGCCCTACTGCAAAATGTGGGAGGGAAAGGGCTTCAGAGCACTGTAAATACTGGAGAACCTCTGAAGTCAGTTAAGACTTAGAACCATGATTTCATTGAAATATTTTGTGGAATTTCTTTTGCAGTTAGAAGTTACACGTTTCAGAATATATACTAAATAGGAATGAAACTGAAACTGAAAGTAAGACCACCATTAAAAGCAATGTAAATCAATAGTAGCTTGTTCTGGTACTTTCTCAACTATATACCGGTAGAATTGAAACTTAGAGGTCTAACTCTCTACTTCAGAAAAGCATAAGGGGATTTACATTTAATTAGGCATTACCAATAGATTGTTTTCCCAGTGAATAAGTAGACTATATATTTACTATATTTTTAGATAGTTGAGCATTCTGTCTGCATATAGATTGTGAGTAAAAGAAGCCTCTTATTCACTATTCATTGCAAAATAAGTTGTAATTTAACTATGTTCTACTTAATGAGGAAAGGCTAAGCTTGTTTATTGCTCGCTATATTTTATCTTGTGATTTGAGTTAAAAGAGCAGGTACAAGTAGTCCTTCATTTACAACCACAATTGAGTCCAAAATTTTGGTTGCTAAGCAAGGCAGTTAAACAAGTGCCTCGTTTTATTACCTTTCTTACCATACTTATTAAACAAATCACTCCAGTTGTTAAATGAATCATGCGGTCATTAAGCGAATCTGACTTCCCCCATTGACTTTGCTTGTGGAAGCTGGCTGGGAAGGTTACAAATGGTGATCACATGACCTTGGCTCCGTGCAACTGTCATAGATACATGCCAGTTGCCAAACACCTGAATTCTGATCACATGACCATGGGGATGCTGCAACTGTTGTAGGTATTGACAACTGGTCATAGGTTACTTTGACCTCAACTTAAAACAGTTCATTTAGTGACTGTTTGAAGTTACAGCGGCACTGAAAACAGGGTCTTAGGATCTTTTTTCACACAACCGTTGCAGCATCCCCATGATCACGTGATCAAAATTCAGATGCTTGGCAACTGGTTGACGGTCCCGAGGCCATGTGATTATCTTTGTGACCTTCTGACAAGCAAAGTCAGTAGGAAGCCAGATTCATTTAACAACTGTCTCACTTTGCAACAGAAATTTTGGGCTCAATTGTAGTTGTAAATCAAGGACTACTTGTAATCATTTCTTAGATTTTGCAGATGGACCAAGCAGCCAGACAGCTATAATTTTGCCTATCGAGAGTATTTGATCTTCAGTGATGTTTCCTCTCAGTTTCCTAACTATTTTGTCACATAGGAATTTATCACATAGGAATTAAAATTTGAATTTAAAGCCTTTTTTTGAAGCTCTGAATGTATGCTTTATCAAAAAATATAATCAACCATAAAATTAAGGATATTAGAACTCTAAAAATTGGGAATCATTTGGTACTTTGTGGCATCCTAGTTGTAGCTTTAACAGATGCTTTATGTTTTTATTAATGAAGCTAGTCATGTTAAGTTTATGTTCTTCCTTTCCCTCTAATCTTGTCTGAGGAGGACAAAAGAACTAGAGGAAATTCCAAAAAACTTATTATGAGCTAATTCTCTGTTAATATGTAAAAAAAGAGTATAAAAAGAATATTCTCATATTTTCCATTTTTGTCTCTGTTTTGTTTTTTATTGCAGGAAGCCAAACCTTCAGCAGAGGATTTGGGTGATAAAAAAGAGGGAGAATACATTAAACTTAAGGTTATTGGACAGGTGAGTTCTAAAATATTCTGTTTAACATTTATCCTTCCTAATTTTACAGGTATAAGCACATAGAGTTATACAGTATATCAGTTCTTTTTCTTTTTAATATTTTTCTGCAAGTGCAGGGTCTGCCTTTTTTTTGTCTGCTAAAATATGTTTTAATGTAGTGCTATATATATGTAACCAGTAAATGTTTGTATTTTGTAAATGCAAATATTCTTGCATAAGAGGACTCTAGAAAAATTTCTTAGCAGTCCTATCATAATCAGGAGTCTGATTTTATATTAATTTGAGCTTTTCTGATTTTATACAAGTTATAAATTCTAGAAGCAAAAGTAGATGCAGCCATTCTTCTATGCATGCATCTGAAATAGACATTGAAACATAAACTAGTTGATGAATGTGTTATGAGTTTTTTGTTTTAAAGTCACAAAAATTGTTATTGTTCCTTATAATAGAATATTCAAAACATTTTGAGCTTTGTTGCAAACTCAGAACAAAATGTTATTGTGTCCCTCATAATTTGTTTTATTTTTAACACTGTTTTTACAGTGGAAGATCATACTTGCAAATTCATATTTCAATATGGATTCAGTGGTAATAAAGAATGTGACAGTAAAAATCTATTACATTTACTTATCAAATCTATACTAAGTTACTTACTTATACTTTACCTACAGAAAAGTTGAGTTTTTAAAAAATATTTTTATTAACAATTAAACCTGCTTTCTGCAACCCCATTGCAAAAAAAAACCCCAGCTACTATACAGAATCTGAGTTCACCAGCAGCACAGTGGATTTGCTTCAACACACAGAAAAGAATGTACAAAACATAGGAAACCTATGCGTCAGGCAGACTGCAGTTTGTCTTTTATGTCCAAAATGGTTGTTCTTGATCACTGAACACATGTTTAAAATGATTCTTCCTTAGTCCTAACTCTATTGCAAGCTAGCAGCAGTAGGGATGTAACCTCTTTTATTGGAAAATGCCTTCCCTAAATCCCATGTGTGGAAGAGTTTAAGAAAAAAGCAAATTGTGAGATGTAAGAAAGCTTGAAACTCAAGAAGTGTGGCATGACACATTCTGTTACATCTCAAGCATAAGATCATACTTGAGGAAAAAAGTATCTGATACAAGCTCAAAACATCTTACATATCTATAATAAGTGTTATTTTAATACTAAGCAGAATTATTATATTTTCAATTTGTAGGACAGCAGTGAAATTCACTTCAAAGTGAAAATGACAACGCATCTAAAGAAACTTAAAGAATCATACTGTCAGAGACAGGTTTGTGACTTGAACTTTTCCTTGTTCACATGATATCAAATATAAGAAGTTCGATTTTTATGTTCCTCTGCACCTGACAGAATTTATTCCTGCATAATCCAAAAATTAAAAGAAATGGAAAGTAGCGAATATCTGGGTTTTTGTTCAATCAGTTTAAATTGACTAGCTCTATTTCTCTTTGTTTAGGGAGTTCCAATGAATTCACTCAGGTTCCTTTTTGAGGGTCAGAGAATTACTGATAATCATACTCCAAAAGAGGTAAGTATTCTTGGAGATCAATTGCTAATACTGTTTGTAGTTATTTCACTATTATAGATTTTTGGCAATCCAATCCTGATTATTTAAGAGTAGAAATGAATTTAACAAAGTGAATTTCCATTTTAAATTATATTGCTGAAATGAACAAAGCTTGAGGAAATCTGGGGTGGACATTTGCTTTGAAGAATTGTCAACACTTTTCAGTTATGCAATACAAAACAAATTTCTGGATATTTATTTATTATTTGTAAATATCTATCTTTTGTATCAGACTATTAATTGATACATTTTAAGCTTCTAGAAAAACTAAATTAGATCCTTGGTGTCTCCTATCTCATATAAATGTACTCAAGAACTTGCACTACACTGCAATAGTTTGGATTATTTTATTAGGTAAATAATATAATTCCATTTTGCGGGATTTGAATATATACGTACAATATGTATTGCTTGCTAGTTTGTCAACTTTAGTGATCTAACATATTAAAAAGACTCAAAGCTGGCTAGTACAGCTATAGGCAAGACAGGACAATTTAATAAAATCTTACTAGAATGGCAGTGGCAAATCATTTTGTTACTATGAAAACCATGAAGTTCCCAGAAAATTGTAGCTCTTATTAAGTGTTTGTTCAAACATATGATGATGCTGAACAAGTGGTACTTCACAACTGTTCCTCTAGCCTCTGGCTGTCACAGGGTCCCCACACTCACGTGACTGATCTGGGCATTTGGATTGCAATTACCTTGCCTCCTAACGTGGTCACTGTTTGAGACCTTCTTTGCTGGCTTCCTACAAGCAAAATCAGTGGGGAAGCAGGCAGGCAAGAGGTCACAAATGGTGACCACGTGATAAACTCACTTAAAGACCTGTGTGGATTTGCTCAATGATGCCAGCATTTCCATCACTTAGAAAAGAACTTCTAATTACTATTATTAAGTGAGGACTTATCTGTATACATAAGAACTGATAATATTAAAACGACAAGGCACTAAAAACGTAGCTACTGTTCCTAGAGTTACCAACCTTCATCTTTCCTACATTGTCCACAAAACTCATGAGAATGACCTTTTATTTTATTCTATAACCATTTATTTATTAAATTTGCCACCTGTATGGTTCTAGGTGACTAAGAATTTAAAAAAAAGATTACCCAAGCTCCGCAAAATATTTATTATCTAAACATTTATTTAAAAATTTATATGTTCATCCATCTTATCCAAGCTCATAACTATACTATCATTAAACAGCACTGCATTTCACAGAAGTCAATAACTTCTTACTCTCTTATGCATGGAGAAAGTGAAACAGATCTATAGCTTATATCAACAGTTTGATCATTATTTTACTATAGAGCAGCAGACATAATCAAAAAGTTATCAATATGTATGGGATTATTTTAACTTAAAATTAAGGCTTAAACCATACTTCGTGATGTAAGATTTTTATTTACTTGTGAAGCTACATTTTAAATGTTTTATTGAGTAGTGATTGTGTATTGTGGCCTATTTATTTTTTAAATAAAGTTTTAGTAAACCTGATACTTGCTGAGAATCTTTTTATATAAGCACTGTTCGCTTATTTGTCAACTCTGCTGCTAGTTTCTTTTACAGAAAATCCATGGAACTAATGTGCCTAGTGAGCATCCAATATGGCTGTGTGTTTTGGATTTGTAAAATAAAATTGTGGTTCTTATTTTACAGCTCGGAATGGAAGAAGAAGATGTGATTGAGGTTTATCAGGAACAGACAGGAGGCCATTCAACAATTTAGAATGTTTTTTCCCTTTCCCTTTATCCTTTTTTATTTTTAAATAATAGTTCTTTTGTAATGTGGTATATAACACTGAGTTAAAACCAACACCACATTCCTATGTTTTAAATATTATTTCCAGTTGTCTGTTTTGAATTCTTGTGCTCATTATACACTGTCATTGTGTCAGACTTTTGTGATCCTACTGCAGTTGTACTTCCCCATTTTTTCCCTTTTCCTCTTTAGAAAAGCAACTGTCTACACATGCAGTTACATGTTGGCAAGGATCATGTATCCAAGCCTTGACTATTTGGCAGTGGGCAGAGGTTTCTAATATTCACATTGGCCTGAAATTTAGGTGTGTGACTTTTATTTGTGGATTTTAAGAGAAGAAGATACAGAAGCTTTTTGAAATCTAAACAGAAGGATTGTGTCCTAATATTAAGAGTTTTCTGTAGATTTCAATGTGAAGTATCCAAATACTGATGGCAAAAATGTAGTTTATGGTAATACTATCTTTGAAATGGCTTCACTGAAGATAACATGGAAATTGGGGTTTTGTCAACAGAAGATCCTAGGAAAGTTCTAATTAATGTATATCTTCTTGCAACGAGAGTTTAACGATTCTTATGTTGTACCTGTTTGTCTGGAATGTGGTTTTTCAATGGACATAGATTGTATTGGCTTCCCTTTAAATAAATAAGAGGAAACAAATTCATAAACCTCTGCATTTTCTTTTAAGACATAAATTCGGAAGATTATTTGAAAGACTAGTGAAGAATATTTAAAGAGGATAATTTCTTATGCTGGAGGATGTTACACAGGAAAACTTTTTGATTTGATTCACCTTTGAGAATTAGCACTTTCCCTGCTGCTTGCTCTCAGTATATAAATGAAAATCAAGAATTTATCTTTCACTGAGAGTTGTATTTTGTATATGCAATGTGTAGCTCCGGAACTCTGAAAATTCATGGTAAAGTATTGAAGACTAAATATGGAAGAAGTGAAATTGCTATCCAAACACCACCTTTGGTGTTTAAAAAACAGGGACATACCAATTCTTCAGTTTCAGAGAATTACAGAAAATATTGGGACTTAAATTAGGTATGAATAACCTAACCTATTGATTTCAATACAATGTAACACTATCTTGTAATCTATATTGGGTCAAAGTGCCTTGGAAAACATAGGTACTTTGCAGAGTTACATGCATCGATATATGTGCACTATCAGTGTGATAAAAATTATAAACATTGAAAAAGCATTGATCTAAGATCTAACCTAACCTCATTTTTTAGAATTCAGAGTTTTTCTTTTGACTTCAATAGGTTCAGGATTGAAGACCCGGCATTAAATCCTGTTTGTATAGACAAGTAAACTAGTTGATTTTTCAGTTAGCTGCCATTGGCAATCTTAGAGTGTAAGTACCTCTAAAAATAAGTTAATTCTCTGGAAATAAGTTATTCGTGTTTGGAAGTTATGTGAAATAGTATTCTGAAATGAGGCCTGATCAATGAAACCTTTTTTTCCTAAGCGATTGTCTTAATTCAAAATGTTCTATCTTCATATCTCTTTTAGTCAATGGCGGAACTGTCATAGAAAACCTATCAATGCTAGAAAGATTCTTTAGCTCAGGTTTGCAATATTGATGGCAGGACTAGAAACGTTGCTCTACCTCGGGTTTATTTTCGTTGCCAGGGGAATAGGAAAGGTCAGAAATTAAGACTGCAATGTTCTTAAGCATACTTTAATAAACCATTTAATTGTATTTACTTTTCAGGCACTTAACTGTAAAAGTGTTAAATGGATCTTCTCCAATGCTTGTAGTTTCCATGTCCCACTTCTGATGCCTTTTTGTACGCATGCCAAACTTTTTTTAAAAATTAAAAACTTGTTTTCAAAAATCAAAATCTGGGCTTAAGTGTTATCCATATCTTTAGCATTAAACATTTGAATGAAGTCAGTGGGAAAGTTTTGTAACATGTTCCTTGAAACCTGACTGTTTGGCCCTTACATTGCTGTTACACCGGGAGGGGGGGGGCGCAGCAGTTTGCAAGAGAAAAGTTTTAAATAAAATGTCTACAATAAAACCCATAGTTACTAAAGATTAAATACTTTAAAGTAAGACTCTTTTTTTTAAAATAAAAGTAATTGCATAATCAGTCTGAAAGAAAATTTGGGCGGGGGGGGGGCAGCTGAACTTGCTTTAGGAGAAACTGTGGAGCTCAGAATTCCTTACACCTGAGCAGTACATTACATCAGACCAATTTCTAGGATCATAAAAATTCATTCACAGTGAAAACACAAAACACTGCAGAAATGAAAGTAGAGTATGAATCATGCTCTTAGGTTGTCTCTTAAATAGAAATCCCAAGGCCCCTATTTCTGGAGGTCACCTTGCTATTTCAAACATGTTATTCCTCAGCAAGGTCTATTTCTATTTTGCAAAATAAAAATATACTTCAAGTCTTAAATTTAATCTTGAGAATCACAACCTAATTCAAAGACTGAATTAGTCTCTTAGAATTAGCCTACTTGTAGCCTAAAGAAATAGCTAGAAAGGTAGAGAAGAAATATTTAACAAGTTTAGAGATGAAACCGCACAGGAGCCAATTAAAAGCAAGACCACAGATGACATTTACCACCCATTAAGCTAGCTTGACTGGTTTGCTCAGTGTTAAAGGAAACTCAGCTTGTTTGCAATAGTAGCCTAGATTATATTTACATATATCCACACACATCCCACTATGGCAGTGTTTTTCAACCTTGACAATTGTAAGGCATGTGGACTTCAACTCCCAGAATTCCATAGCCAGCAATGCTGGCTGTGGAATTCTGGGAGTTGAAGTTTACATGCCTTAAAATTGTCAAGGTTGAGAAACTGCACTATGGGTTAAAAAATTATTTAGAACATTGTCTAGAATAGTGTCAGTACTGCCTTAGGGATCAGACAAAATTAAAAGAAAAGCACTTAGTATATTTTACTTCTTAAGTCTGTTGGAAAACTTGTCAGAATGCAACAGTTGGCTTTTATAAAACTACACAAAAAGATATTTGGGCATGGCTAAGATTTCAATCATCTGTTGTAAAAAAAGGACGCTGGAAGTAGGAATAAACCCACGGACGCGAAATTTCCTGTCTTCGATCCAGTCCAGAGGCTTCTAAAAGTAGTTGATACTGAAATTGTTGCTCCTTCTCCAGTTCTGCCCTTTGTCTGGAACCAGATAAGTTAATATAAGAAAATGTGTAATCTTAACAAGGTTATAGGGTAATATTGGAAGTTGAAGTGGGGTGAAAAGCAAAGGCCAGTCCCTAGCTGAATAAGGAAGAGTTAGGGACAAGGGACTTCTTATACAGTAACTCATCCCCTGTTGGGACACAGAGCAGAGCTTCCTGACACCTTAAGTTATGGGCAAACTAAGTTTCAAACTCAAGTCTTTCTTAAAACCTGATCTCAAGCAATATGCAGCATTAATGCAATAATCACCAATTTGTAACTTGTAAAATAAGAATCATGGTATTTGTTCTGCTAAAAATCCTTGCCATAGCATTTGGGAGCAGCTAAAAAGTAGGGAGAATTTCACAGGAAGCTCATCATTAACATTAAGCATTAATAATTACCAATTGGCAAAACTACATTGCTAATAAAAAGCCATTCATCCCTATCAAAACTACAGGAGCATATTTCCTGGTAAGGGGCAGAACATAATACGATGAATACTCATTGGATGTCTGGACATTTAAATGAAAGCCATAGCTTCATGGGTGATTCCTGCCTATGAAATTAGCTTGAAAGTAATCTAAGATCCTTTCCATAACCCATCCATTTTTTATTTTTTATTTTGTCAAGACTGAGTGTTGGTCCTGGCCAAGTCAATGTAAGGTGGCTGGTGAATATAATATTGTATTTGCTGGGTACAGGAAGAGGTTCTAATTTAGAAATGTGACTCAGTTCACATAGGCCACAGGTTGGCAATCTGTTGCTCCGGAGCCGCATGCGGCTCTTTGAGCCTTCCCCTGCGGCTCCCAGCCTCCTCTGCCATTTGCAGAGAGAGACAGAGAGAGGCACTTGCGCTTCTCTCTCTCTCTCTCTCTCTCTCTCTCTCTCTGTGTAAGAGAGTGGACTCACGGTGTTCTCCGACCAGCTGAAAAGCTTATTGGGCAGGGCTCCTCCCTTTGCTGCGTCTCTGCAGGAAGCAGGAAGCAGGAAGCAGGAAGGGCAGGAGAGAGCTAGCTAGCCCAGCTATGCTGACTCAGGAATTCTGGGAGTTGAAGTCCATGAGTCATAAAAGAGCTGAGGTTGCCTACCCCTGAGCTAGCCCAATAAGAATGTGTGTCAGCTTGTTGGAGAACAGCTTGAAGCCAGCTTGCCAGGTGAGCAGAAAATCGGAGAGAGGGAGAGGGGGGGAGAGAGAGAGGGAGAGAAAGAAAGAGGGAGAGAAAGAGAGGGGGAGAGGAGAGGGAGATGAAAGGGGGAGAGGAAAGAAGGGAGAGGAAAGGGAGAGGAAAGAGGAAAGAAAGGGAGAGGAAAGGGAGAGAAAGGAGAGAGGAAAGAAAGAAAGAAAGGAAGGGAGAGGGAGGGAGAGAGAGAGGAAAGAGAAAGGGGGGAAGCGCAAGTGCCTCTCTCTCTCTCTCTCTCTCTCTCTCACACACACACACAGAGTGGGGGAAGAGGACTGGCAGACCAAGGGCAGAAAGAGAGAGAGAGGGAGGGAGAGGGAGGGAGAGAGAGACCTTTTGACCTCTAAAATGAAGATAACACTGCATATATCCTTTTTTACCTTTATCTCACACACACACACACACACACACACATAATAAAGGTAAAAAAGGATTTTTGTGGCTCCCAGTGTTTTGTTTTCTGACTTTAAGAAGTCAGGCTCCTGGTAGATCCAGTGCTATTACACCCAAAAACAGGCATCCGCTAATCTATCATAAGTCACTAAGGATGAATTTTTCCTAGGAAGTTCTGTTTACCTTGAGAGTAGTAACACTTGCTTTCTTGCTTCTTCCAAAGCAACTCTAGCCTCTTCCTCAGCTCTCCTCCTTCTCTCCTCAGCCTCAAGCCTCATTTTCTCTTCTTCCTCCTTTTTCCTCTTCTCATACTCCAACCTTTGCTCCTCGGCCATCTCTGCTAGCTGTCGCTGTTCTTCCTCCAGCTGCATCTCCATTTCTTTCTGTCTGCGTTTTTCTGCTTCTAAGGAACGGAGAGCAAGTGAGCGAGCTACCACCTATTTCTATTTCAGGAGAAATAAAGTAATTAAAGTGAAAAGACAGGAAAACTCTATTTGGGGGAAACCTCAAGTGCATGATTAATTAGCAGATGTTTTATTGTAAAACATTTATATTTTTGCACTGTGGTACATTATGAAAAGCTAGAGGACCAAAGGAAAACATTGTGCCAAATAGTAAACAGCTCTGAAGTGATGTTTCGACTGAATAAAGAAAGTGGGCATAAATAAAACTTCAAAAAACAAAATATGAACTTAGGCCAGTTTCTCTCTCAGCCGAAATCTGCCTCTTGTGGAGATAAAACAGGAATATGGTGAAGAACCGAAATAAACCTCTAGCTGATAATAAGTTGAACTCTTTGATGTTTTCACCAGAAATGGAATACTTACAGTATTTATTTGCCTAGGCCAGTGATGGCGAACCTTTTAGAGACTGAGTGCTCAAACTGCAACCCAAAACCCACTTATGCATCGTCGAGTGCCGGCTAGGT